TTATTTTAATAAATATACAAGCATGTTTTAGTGTTTCTCACTCTTGTTGTACTTCTGGCTCATGTTTATGACTAAAGGAAGAAAACCAGTCTCTTTGAACATTAACGAATTGTACAATGTATGTAATTATCACTTTTTTTTAATCTAAACGACAGTCAACTAGTTGAAAAAGGAAATGCTAAGAAAAGATCATATGATGACCGAGGGCTGGCCGCTCTGTAACGTCAGTGGAATGTGACCCTTACAAACAGGATGGGACCGCGATTTGCCTGACGCGTTAAATTAATTCACGGAAAACACCTGCACTCTCACGCCAAACGAACAAACAAACATGAATTATTATTACACAGAGAATTTTGTGAAGGAAACTTTGACGACGATGGTGCTTCATTATAACAGTATGTCGCGATTACTAATTACACGTGTCTAATCCATGTTGCGATGTAAATATAACACTTTATTGCAGCCGATTTTGACCATCATTATGTGTAGTAATAGTTCCACTATCAAATAATTTCATACGTTCATTTTAAGTGAAGAAAAATACAACCTGTATCCATAAGTTTATGAAAATTCAGAACAAATATTTCAATGGATGCTCTATTATAACAATGGACCTGCAAAATCTTTTCTAACCTTAAACATAAAAGCTTTGTTATCGTAGGTTAGGAAACATAAAAAGGAAATTTGTTATAGTTTGGGGAAAGGAAAGGTTTGATTTTTCCAAACAATATTTACTAGTTATTGCTTACAATAACCGTAAGTGGTATGAGTCGGTAGCGCAGATAAACAGAATTCGTATCAATCAACGATTCGGTTCGACATGTCTACTTGATAGATTGATAGATGTCGCGTAAATACAAAAAAAAATGTGTATGAAATACAATATTTGTACATTTGCATTGGAATATTATTATATCGAAACCCTAATTTTTATTAAACACAAATAGAAATAACTGTGGATATTTAAATAGTGGCTTAATTAGAGCAGTGATTAATAGTAAATGCAAGCGAAAAAACGGCACATGATAAAACTATTTTTCTAAAACAAATTATAAGTAATCATTGCTTTTTTTTCGTTGAGACTCTCCACAGTATTTGTGGAATGATACCCTTAATGGCTTTCTGTGCTGGGATCTAGACATAATATGCATAGACATTGAGACTCAGTGTTAACAGCTGTCGTGGGCCTTCGTATCACAACAAAATATTTCGTTCATTCTTTTATCGTTGAAGTAAGAAAATTGTGAAATGGTAATTAATGGGTCCCGTCAATATTTACACGAGTTGTTGGAAAAAGGATTTTAGGAGAAGAATCGTTGTACTATTATACAATCTAAACGTTTTACTCAATACACCATTGTTTGATAACAAACGATGTTTTAACGCCGGGACTGCCGAATCATCATTCACAAAAAACTTACTAACGTTTAAAGAACATAAACAAAGCGCTTGTTATTTCTCTATGAAACCAATCCAGGTACCGGCTTCCCGCTGAATTTTATTACTTTACAAATAAAATAAAAATAGGTGGAGTTAACGGAGTGGCAAACGGCTGAAAGCTTTCAGATGTTTCAACTGCAGGTGACATCGCTGGGAGGAAATGGCTACAGACACGCCACCTCCAGGCAATCCTTTGACAACCATCTCTTAATAACATAAAAGAAAATAAAGTAATAAAAGTGGACCCTCCTTACCTAACAAGGCTGTTAACACTGAATTTTAATATATTTACAGAATACCTGGAGAGATGCGCAATGTTTTCATTAGCTTGTTTGTTTTTCTCGAAAGGGTGCCCGCCTGGCCGAAGTAGTGTAGTGGTAGACTTCTTGCCAGTTATGTCATTAGTCCCGTGTAATTGGGGCCGAACATATTATCACTATAGCACTGTTCTAATTGAAACTTAGTGATGTTTCAATTTGGATTTAGTCACAAATAATAATAAGGAACGCTGATTTTTAACTGAGGTACTGAAACTACTCAACGAATGAGACAGTTAAAATATTATTGCGCAGCATGTGGGGAGCAGTAGACCTCAGTCCTCATTTATTATTGACGTTCCGAAAGTGATTAGTGCCACTTGGTAACTATAATTTACGTACGGTGTTCTACTAAAGAGTGATACGATCAGATATAAATGACATACATTATTATAATGATGATGAATAATTCAACAATCCTGCACAAATATCGCTAAAAACTTAACTCTTTCTCGATAAAGATGACTGGTCAATTCAGATGCATATTTTTAACCATAGACTATTAAAATAAATACACTTAGTTTGTGAGGGGACAATTACAATTCGTTTAGAAAATCCTAGATTACTGGCCCTTGATAGATGTAAACCATTAATTAAAGTTATTAACCGTATAATTGTCTTCGCTTATAAATATCAATTTTAGTACTGTCATATATAATATCGAAGCGTTATAACTCCGCGTAGGTATCATAATTATTGACAAATGTACACAATTTTGTAGTCTTCCTCTCGATATTAATATCGATACATTAAAAAGTCACAGATATAAGAGAATATTGAAACTACTAATAATAGACGTCTGTGTGAAAAGTCAACTATGCTTTATTTTACTAAAACCTCATTTTAAAATGTAACTGAAAACCGATGCTACTTGCTGTAAATTATACTACCTAGAAAAAGAAAAACAAAATATTTTTAAGTGGGTTTAAGGCATCCTTAATATTTTTCGACGGGTTTCAGCCGGGTTTCCGTAAACTTTCTTTTAAAAAGAGGTTGTGTTTCGTATTTTTTTCAGGAACTTTTTTGCCCGAGGAGTTTTAACTGGCGACTGAATTTCACTTTACTGAATATAATGTGTTGCGGTAAATTATATAGGTACACATACATAATGATGTGTAAGTATTCCAAATCTATGTATGATAAAAATGCTTAATGATCTCACTAATCAACGCAACGGTGACTGTCTCTTAGAAAAGTCTAGGTTCGATTCTTGATACAATGATGGTTAGGGCTATCTTTCAACCAAGATTAGTAAAAATAATTTGAACCAAATTTGAAATTAAATTAACATATTGACATAATTAAGAAATCGTATTTAATGAGAATAATAAGTTGTTTTTAGGAAAGAGGTTTATTTATATTTAGTAAGTATAAATAACACAAAAAATATTTAGAAACAGGAAATAAAGAAAAAGAATTAGGGGAAACTAAATAACATGCAGCTTTAGGAAATGAAAGAAAGGGCAAATAAAAGTCGACAAACTGCTCCGATACAGAAAATAGCTTTTTAAAAGTTGTTTATGGTGCGGCAACGACAACCTGCGTTGATATATACCTGCGTAGCTACATATGTATGTGTTTATGTTACCTATGTACAGATTACATGTTGTATTTTCTTTTAGTATCTAAATATTCCCAAGTACTGTAAGTTTTTGTAAATAAACATTTAATAAGATGTTTTACAAACATTCTAGGTTGTTGTTGATACTCTTGAAATATTTTTGTGATATTAATAAAAATACTTGAGAATTTATTGACCTTCATAAGAATTTTCATGTGAAAGCTGTTTATTTACCAAATATTGTCACATGTTTAACCAAATTGATTGTGGAATAGATGATCTATTGCATATTTTCAATGAAGTCAATGAAGAAAGTAATACCTAAGTATAATTGTTTACTATTCATCTATTTTCTGTGGTAGGTAGTATGTGTATCGATTCTTGGTCATATTGCTGCTGAATGGGTGGCTCGTGATGTGTTTACTATCTATGATTCACCGAATGACGTTAGCACCCCGACTGTTTCCAGGAAAACCTTTCCGACACATACATACCTAGTGTAAAGCTCAATCAACAATGACACTAACGTTCATACCTAGATTAATTTGTTCTGTATGTTTTTCTTCGTCAATTTCAAATAAAATGCGGCCAACAAACCGGCGACTTTTCGAACCATATACTTTTTCTTACAAACCACTAACTGTCGGCCATTACGGGTGAATCGAATCATTTATGACAGCAATCATTCACGTTTCCCTGAATTTAATTGGTCGGTCTCGTGAGACATTATCGGGTGTACCGATCTACGTTATCTCGAAGAGGGATTAACCAGTTCCACCCTCGGTGGCAGATCTTTCTGAAGCACTATACTAGTGACAGGGGCGTGTGTCTGGCGCCCGCATTAACCCTGCATTAACACACAATATATTATAACCGAGCGTGTATGGATCTTGACATCCTACGTATTTATGAAGCGACTCCTACATCATTCTTGTGGGACGATAATAAATTGTTCTAAATGCAATGTCAAAATTGCTTTTCTGATAGATTGAATGAATCCGTGCTGTGCGTGAGGTTTTAGATAAATGTACATGAATTAACTCAGAATTAAGATATTGCTACGAGGTTTAAAACATTGATTTTAAATTAATTACCCTGAGTAAATATATCCTAGATAAAAATATGTTGTGCCTGAAATACATGAAATAGCTAGTAGTCTCGTAGTGTTCCTTCGCAGACGCACAGTAATGGGCCGGCTGCGGCCGCCTGTCACCCGCACTACGCGCTGACAAATGGTCGGGCGGCGGATCCATCACCCACACTGCCACCAGCCAGCCTCCACGCGACCTCCAGCTCTGTCCGCTCTACGCTTAGGTTAAGAAACGTGTCTTTCCCGGATGGATCGATACACGTATATTGTAATATAACCAGTGGATCGGAATAACGTAACATGCCGGTGATTCATCACGACATCAAACAGGTACCTGTCATATCAAGTAAGCTTAAAACTAGAATTCTAGCTATCACGTTACTTTTGACAATTACCTAATCGTATCTGAATAGATCTTGAAGAACGAATGTTTGTTTCTGTTGTACAGCATTGTCACTTCATACTGTAGCATAGTTTCGCAGATGAATTTCATTGATTCTATTGTTGTAGCAATCCCTGTAGTCGTTTCTATACGTGGACACTGAAATTGGTTGATTGGCACACGGTGTCGTCTCGTGGTGACACTCACCTGGCACTCGTGACACGTGTGCACGGAGTAAGGCTGGTCGCAATCGTATCTTCTGAGGATGTCGACGAAATCGCAGTGCACGCGCGCAACCATAGCGTCGAGACCGAGGAGGTCGTGCAGCGCGCGCTCGCAACTTTTTTGGTCGGAGAGCACGGCGTGACGCGCGCCGGCGTCCAGCGCGGAGGCGGGCGACCGCTCGCAGCACGCGCGCAGCCGCAGCTCCGCGAGACGCCGCGCGCGTGCAGGTGTGCTCAGCGCGCACAGGTGCGGCACGTCGCGCTCCTTCAGCACGTCGGGCGCGCCGCCGCCGCCGCCGCACGCCGCGCCCCCGCACTCGCGCACGCTGCCCGCGCCCTCCTCCTCCAGGTCGCACGCGCTCAGCCAGGGGTTGAGGCGCGCGAGCGGACTCACGGCCAGGCCCGCGGCCGCCATCAGCAGCAGCAGCAGCAGCGGCGGCGCTCGCATGGCGGGGGCGGCGCCGCTAGCGGGGGCCGGCCCGCCGGGCGCGGCGCTGCCTCATACCGCATCGCGCATGGCGACCTACTCGCGCGGCCCGGGCCGCGGGGCCGCCGCGCGGGGTGGGCGCGCCGCCATGTCGCTCGCTCGCCGCTCGACTGACTCCCCCCGGGCGCGCATCGATCGCCCCGCGCCCCGCACCCGCCGCTGCGCGCGCCCGCAAAGCCTCTGCTACCGTTATGTAATGGTGCGCGCGCACCCCTAGGTTCCGCCCGCCGCTACAACTGCCCTCTCGTGTCATATTCAATTTTCCGCCCGCCCAAAAACGTACGCACTGAGCTTTGGTTCAACGGAAAATCAAATGGTTTACAGAAAGATAGATAGATGGCAGTTTACATTCTCATAAGAAACTAATACTTACATCCTAAACCATGTATACGACGGTGCATACGACGTTATACAAAATTGTCTAATACTACCAAAGTGGTCCAGCGAAAAAGCGAAAACTATTAAAATGCAAACAGTTGATACGACTACACTACTGCCAGTTCTATACATATCAATTGACAATTTAGCGAGAGTGTTAACGCTTACGCGTTGTAAGCGTCGACAGTAGTCTCAATGGGGCCTACCAGAGCCTACCAGTCTCAATGATGCTCACCAGATGGCGCCAGTGTGAGCTTCTCGTTCTTTGTCCAATAGGCAAATAGCTAGTGCCACACCATTGGACATTCAATATTTGACAGCTGCTGTGATTGGCCAAAAATATCCTTTCTACTTTTGTGCTATCTGATGAGCAAAAAAACAATTCAAAAGGTTACTACGGGTTCAGTACTCCTCTTGCACAAAATGTATCCTTGTAAACTAAGCTAAACCGATATTTTTTGCATCTCGAGAAGATGTCAAACTAAAGTGTACGTCGATTTTGACTAAGGTGTTTAGTTTGTAAACTATTTCCATGCAGCCGAGTCGCTAGTTGAGCCCACGGTGTGCATGCACGCCTACAAAATTGATAGCAGAAAATGCCGCTACGTGCTACGAACTACGCGCATCAAGGTACGGCTTTTTTATAACGCGATGGAAATCCTCATGGACTTCCCACGTCGTGGGGACGACGCGGAGGTGTGCCGGACCGGCTAAAACTAAAGCGGTATTCCTAGAGGAGGAGGCCTGAGGCCGTGACCCGGAAAACAAGGGCGACCCGGGTTCGCAGGGATTCACCACAAACGGCAGGCCTCGACCTACCGCTATATTGCGGCAGGTCTCACCACGTAGCAACCCTCAGAGGCTGCGATTTCCTTCCTCGAGTGGCGTGCGTGGAACACAACGCTAACGCCTACTCCTGCCCATATTAGGGAAGACTGACTCCCCTAATCAGTCGCCCGCAGGTCTCTCCTATGGAGGTAACGAGCTATGGCTTAAATATTTAACCGCAACTTAATGTGAACAAACAAATATATTTATTTATAACTAGCTGACCTACTTCGCACCGCCTTTTTTCTCGCCTTTTAAACCTTTCCTGGACTTTCGCGAACATTTCAAGACCGAAATTGGTCAAATCGGTTCAGCCGTTCTCGAGTTTTAGCGAAACTAACGAACTGAAATTAAATTTAATTTATATAGATAAGTTATATGTATATATAGGTATGGTTCTGGCAAATGAATTTTCGAGGAAAATACTCATTTGCTATTTATAGCATAGTTAATCCTTCCGGGCTATTAGTTAATATCATTATTTGAAAAACTGAACAAATCACGGAAATATTCTATAAACTGGAAATCGAACTCATGACCGACCAAATCGAACGAGACAGTTTTTATCCGAACATTATGTAATTGATTTTGAATTGATTGATTAATTCATATATTGTTAATTTGTTCAAATAATTAATAAATAAAAATTGTTTAGTCAATTTGAAAGTCAATTAACAGTCAAATGAATTAAGTACTCAAATCAAAGATTGTAGTAAAATGTACAAAAGTACTCAACATTTAGTAGAAATTGTTTGCGTCACAAACTGTCAAACACAACAGGCATAGATGGCTGTTATTATGCAATCCTACGCCGCACCGCTCTAGCTCACGTCTCCGGCGCCGGTGCATCGCTGCATAGAAATCATGGACCGAGACGATTCTTAAGCGCCTGAATAAAACAACATCTTACTGTATTTGAGGCACTGCTACTATTTATGTAGATATAAAAAACTTAGGAAAAACCAATAGAAAGTTTACGTCATAGTATTCATGAATATCATAATAAGATAATTCAGTCGACTCGCCGACTCAATATAATATCGTTGTGGGTGGCCCCTGTGATGTCAATTGTTAAATGCCTGTGCATACCATATAGGTAAGTTTAACGATCCATTCCGCATCAACAATGCTGGCGCTAGACAATGCCACGAGATTCCCCGTGCAGGTGCCAAGTAGTGCGGTCCCCTGTGTGATGTGCACCGTGCAGTCGGCGCACTATACGGATACTTCACAAACTAGTATTGCGCTTTGATTACTATATTGTAATTAGGCGCCAAACGAGTAAGTTTATTCGACGTAAACAACAAGTTACGTGACGACACACTCTCTATCTCTTTCCTCGTTCAGAGATCGTGGGAGGTCTCTGTCCCGCAGTCGTGACGTAATGCGCCCGCGCACTCTTTGAGTGCATTCACTCACAGAGTAAACCGCGCAAGATCACAACGTAGACGATATTCCTAAAATATTTTATTGTGTAATAATATTTAATTCGATTGCGACATTACAAGTTTTGGTCTCTTGGTTAATATTAACAGTTTGCAAGTGTTGTGTGGACGTAACATTTAAATAGAGGATTAAGAAATCAGCCGAAGGTTAAATTTCATCACACGATGGACGCCACAAGTAAGTTAAACTGGTTCTAGATACGTACAGTACAGTCACTATTATAAAAATCGCGAATAGAACATTGGTCATATCCAACAACGTGATCTTTTAACACTTACCTATTTCATTAATGAGACTTAAAGTAGATAGGTAGAGGGTATAATGGCACTCACGTATCTTCAATAACTAAAAAAAAACTATTCGTATTTTTCCTTTTGTTTTTCATCGTACTTGAACTGCCATAAAATTAGAAAAGGTACCTCTTCCGACCGCTACCAAAGTAAACAATAAACAATGCAAACATACTCTTATCTTGTTAAGACAACAATCGTATTCAAAAATAAAGCAACATCTGCTAAAAAAGATATTGTTCTTTACTTTGAATTTTGTTTGCGAAATCATCAAAAGTTTTACTGCTGTTGATATATAAAATCGTGAACGAGTGTCATTTATTCTCAGCCAGCATTAAAATTTTCCTAATTAACTCTATGAAATCGCATTTTATCGTCGATAATTTGAAGCAACCGGTGGTATCACTATCCGTTCTATGAAGCCTTGTGGCTGTCACGCCCTGAATATCACAACCTGTAATTTCATCATAATCCCCAACTGACAGCTAAACTGAACATTGTCCAGTAAACGGACAATACATTACAACCAAGTTTTATCAACATATTATCTCCATGTTATATGTAAATCATGCATAATTTAGTCTTTGTTGATTCTGCTTCCTACATCGGCCTTCCAAGACAAGGCTACTAGCATTTAATTAGCTAAATAAATATAAAATATTCATCGCGAAACAAGCATTGTAAAACTTCGAATTGTATTGTGAGATTCGATATTACCTGTACTGTCCTAAACAATAAAATGACTTAGTAAAGTGGAACACTGAAACAGACCGACACGAATTGTTGCAAACTCTTCCTTCAATTAAGTAACCGTTCAAAATTCTTTAATGAAGGTTTGGTAAGCCTTGTCGGTTTATAATAACAACGATACTATAATGAGCGTGAAAAAACATCAAAGTAGTCATCAGGTAAAAAAAATCAACCAACGTCAAAAAGAAGCATCGTCATTACAACGACAGTCTTGGGAATCACGACCTTTAAATCGATTAACTGTTTAGAGAACTCGCGTTTGTGAATTCTACTTACAATGACTCATTCAGTGACTTGTAGATAGCTATACCTAGACTAATAAACATAACGTTCTGTAATGTAATATTTCGGTATAAATACTAACGTATCTAACAACAGAAAAACAAATTAATATTTCAAGCAATCGTAACTTAACTGCGATTTTAATTTCGGCTTATCTCAATGCTTAACAAACTAAACTGAACAAGGTCTACAATAGAAACTTGTAACTTGACCTGCATTTCGCAGCAACTTCAAATTAGGTACTGTAACACATTTGTTTTGATGATGATTCGTTGTGACCGCATTAATCACCTCGCAAAATAGGGTATGAATAGCAGATACTAAATATATGTTTCTAATGTTTCAGTGGAAAACAAAATGGGTCTTCCACCACCTTATGAACAAACGCGTCCGAACCCTGCCCCACCGCCATCGTACTTCGGTGACAATCCTCCTCCACCGCCCGGATTAATAGTCCCCCCAACCGCGGGGCCACGGACTACAGTGATCACGACACCGGGTGCCGCACCAGGATCCCGTCCAGCCAAAATGGGCCCTGGGCCGTCCGGCACGACTTGCCCCACTTGCAACAAATCTATCGTGACGACCGTTGAATACGTCCCAAACAACCGCACACACATCATATCAGCCGCGCTGTGTGTTCTAGCCGGGTAAGCTATTGCACGATAACATTAATTAATATTCTCTATACACAAGAGCAACTACTGTACTAATTTAAATATCTGTACATAAATAATATATGTATATTCATACGTTTGGGGTCATCTGATAAATCGCCGGATTTTTCCTGTTCCATCCGTTTTTCTAGCAGCGATTTGTACGTCATGTTTATTATAGTCAAAACTACTTCTTTTGTGTGTACGTAATGTAGTAAACAAGTTTTAGGTTCGTTGATACGTTTCGCAACTAGTTTCTATACTCGAATGTATGACTAATGGTAATTAATGCTTTAGAAACGTTGGTTAACGTACTTATTCATACAGTATTGTAGAAATTGTCATTAAGATTTTATTTTACACATAGATACGACTGCAAAATAAAACGCACACGACACTACAACTACACGTGAACAAATGGTATTTTGAAATTGAAATAAGTATTAATATTATTTGCTCACTGTGTCTACAGAACAGATCCAGCTGTTATTACCTAAACCAACTAGGCAGTTTATTATCTATTTTACAATTTTACACAATACCTATAACGATTACGTAAATAAGACAACACATGTACGATTGTACATATCATGATTAGGATTTTATATTTAACTATTTAAGGGGCATTGATAACGGACGACACCGACGACAATCACTAGATTATTAGGCTAAAAATCCGACTCAAATGTTAAACAATGATAAGCGACAGCGAATATCATCGTAGCCGATGGCTTTGCCGTCATCATTAAAAAAATACGTTTTTATAAGGAAAAGTGAATTAAGAAACGAGTTTATGATTATTATTTGTACGATCCTTGATCTGGGCTTTTCCTTGCTGTGGACGACACTGACTTACTGCCGTACTCAGAGACGTTTAATGATTACTTAAACTATTTTAGACTTTGTTCCGAAAAGACTAAGGACTGGGTTAAAATAAATAACCATTAAATCTGATTGGGCTCTCGGGCACACAATATTCGGGGCCTTCCTGTGGAATATTCCTTTTTTTTAACGTTGCCCCATACTAGGATTTTCTTCTGTATCGTGGGTGCATTTACAAACATACAAGTTCACTTACACATGACGCCCAGATTTGATATTGTTGTGTACTTATCACATTGTTCTATTTCCAGATGTTGTTGCGGCTGCTTCGTACCTTACTGCATGCGATCTTGTAAGACTGCCAACCACTATTGTCCTCAATGCAAAGCCTTCATCGGTTCCTTCACACCGTCTTGATCTTACACACCTTTTTCAATCAAGAACTATATTAAACCTTGATATTAAAATATTATAGAATAAGATATACCTACGTATGCTGACTAGAAAAATAAAACATCTACTCACGGAGCCATTGTAGTCGCTTTTAGCAACAGAGGGCCTGTTCCGAGTTGTTTTACGTCAACGCGATCGACAAGGTTATGACGTTCGGCGCTCTGATTGGCCAGCTCCAATTAATCAACCAATCAGAGAGCTAAACGCGGTAACGTTTCAATCTCATTAACGTAAGAAAAACTAACACTTTACACTAGGCCCTCTAATTTATATTTCTAGTAGGATTAATATAATATTGGAGTTTTATGTGTTACAATATAAAATCTCATGTGATGTATCTCAAATTCTCAATAGTTAAGTAACCCATTCAGCCAGTTGGTTTATTTAACATTTCATTGCCTGTGTTCTGTGCTAAAAATCATATGTTAAGTACTTCCTTATGAGAATGTATAGATTTCGGTATATTCTACAAAGAGTTAAAGTTTGATAAACAAAAGTGTGTTTTGAACAAACTTTATGTTTTATGAATTGGTCTTAATGAGTATAAAGTGTTAATCTAAATATTCACCTATGTATATGTATGTATATTTATATGTTTGAAATTGGAAACCACAAATATAATGTGTTCAGGTCTATACTACATACTAATATATTGTATAGTTCTGCTTGTACATTATTATGAATTTATGACAGTTTCAACTAAATATCTCATTGCCTAATTCAAAATAAAATGCTCGAATGATTTATCAATAAATTATGTATTATCTTTTGACCAAATGCTTGTCGAATTTATAATTTATTTTATGTTAGATAATAACTTAAGCCTAAGTACATTTTATGAAAAATATAAATTAATATTATAAAAAGTATCGTCGATAACGTAATTTTATATAATTTTGTATATTTCATTCTGTGATAAACTTTTCAAGGGTTTTTGTACTATTTCTACTTAATTATATTTAATTTTATAAATAAATAGATGAATACATTTATTTGTCTTTCTAAAACTACGATGATACCTCCTTACTTCAAGTAAATTAACATTTTACCCCAAAAAATATTTACACTTTTACTCAGATGTAGCTACGGACTGTTGTGTAGAATAGTTTAGTTATTCATCGAAAACTATGTACTGGTTTTAAGCCAATAATACATTTTTTTAAAATACCTAGGTAAAATACTTATACATATTTATTACATAGGTAACTCATTACACCTACCTGGTAAAACCACAATTTAATTAGCTGTTTATTATTAAAATATATTATGGTCAATTACGTAAATGTATAATTGTATCATTATGTAACTCATTTTGAATTTTACTTCAATCACTGCGTAAATAGATACTTATCTTAAATTTATACTTAGGTATAACTTATACAACTTAGGTATGATAAGTAAGATAACAAACCGTCAACTGCACATCCATAGAACAGAATATTCGAAACAAACTGGCTTGCACACCATCTTTATTTCGTCATAATAAAGTCCATTTCTGGGGATACTAAGGGCGGTAGACCGTGCAAGCTTTAGTAGTACCTGTGTATCTCACAATATGGTTGCTCTACTGCTATGCATTCCCAAATACCTGCGGCAATTCGGACAATAATGTTCTACGTTTTTCCATCTTTTCACGACGTAAGGAATTATACAGCAACACAACCACCTGTTAATAAAAAAAGAAAACATTTTCTCACCTTGAAGAAGATCGATAAACGATTTTCCATAAACAATTTTTCATTAGAAATAAAAAATGGAAAGTGTCTGATAATGAACACGTCTATACTATGTAGGTTGAATGCATTGAAATAATGCCCTTTGTAAGTCGTGTGTGTTCAGGTGCGGGTGCAATTAGTACAACAATATTAATCAGTGTTACTAGTGTAAGGCCTAATGCGAAGGACGATTGCTATTAGACACATTAACAGATAAGTGGTAAGCCAAAATAACGCGAAATAAACGCGAAAATATTTCTATTTTCAGCTTAGTTTTTTAGGCTGCACAATTCTCACACTTAATTACAATCGTAGGATCTTAATTTATGAATATTAAATCATTACTCATACTTAATTTGAATTTAAAAGTGTGTTTAACGTCGCAACGAAGTTTTTTAACGGCATTATTTTCATGTCGGAAAATGTATGTAAGTATAAGTAGAAGGCGGATTTTTTTTTAACCGACTTCTAAAAAGGCGCAAGGCTCTTCAAAATTTTGATGCGGTTTTTAGATAAATACTTGAGGAGAACGTTTAAATATATAAATTGTTTATAACGTAGCTTTTTACCACTGTAATTATTAGAGCACTCGGATCGCGACTAACACGTTTAATTGCCGAAATTAGAATCTATGTTTTTGACAGCAACTCCTTAAAACGAATGCCAAAAATTAAATCAATACCTAATTAATTTCAATCATAAGTCAATCAATAAAGTTGTGCAAACCGGTACGTAACACGACGGGTATTTTCTCAAACACTAACTGTAATTATTATGGGTACCCACGTATTTACTATTTAGTCAATGTATGAATCACCCAATAGAACGTGGTATGTTGACCCCACTCGGTCAAGTGCATTATAGCATTATAATATTAAGGAAACATAAATATGAAGAAAGATTAATTAAGTCATTAGGTGGTAAACTCCGTAAAGTGAAGCAATAGCTAATCAAAAGAGTTTCCTATAACTACCTATTTGGCCGGAAATGAAATTAAAATTACTAATAAAATCTTTTTGATAAAGAATTACTCACCAAAAAAATATGCCTAGAATGATGGCAATTGTATGCGTCAGTGTGGTGTTTTTATATTGGGCTCTCGTCATGACGTCTTCGTAGCAATATGGGCACCGTATGCCGACCGGTTCCGAGCCGACCTGCAGGAGTTCCATCTCGATGCCCGCCGTATTATCCGTGATCGTAGATATCGGCTGATAAGCGTTGTTTGACTCCACTGCAATATTACAGATTTCATACATAAAGTTTCAGTAATGGATCCGTAACAGAATGATTTGGGTAGGTACATGGTTCTAGTCGTATGATCCTCTTACTCGTATGACAGACAGGCATGTAAATTAAGTACCTAACATTGGTAGTAGGACCATTTTCGTGATTAAGGAAAATCAGAAACTCTATCATCATCATCAAAATCAGCTTTGACTTTTAATGATACACTAATAAGTAGTATTAGTCTATCTCTACATCTACATGATTCACATACACAATTATAATATTCCCGTATATAAGTAAACATTTAATACGTTAATAATAGGTATATGTATTTCCTACCTCACGAAAATATTAGGTACCAACTCTAGCATTTTGCGTTTTCCCCATAACAATAAATGGGTAAGTATAAGCCAAAGTTATAATTCAATAATTTGGAAGGTATGTACATAACGGTAGGTGCATTGCCAAAAAATCAATTTTAATAATCGATGCCTATCTACAATTCGCAATGAAATTGTGTAATCGAAGAAAAACGTGCTTAAATAATGAAAATTGATACTGTAGTTTACACAACATTTTAGTTCGACGGTTGTGATTGTGATAGAGGAATTCATTGGTTATTGAGATACATTTGTTTCAATATTTTGAAACAAAAATAAAATAAATAAATAATATAAAAACTCACTTGTTTAGAAAATACGACGTGGGTGATAACGTTCAAGTGTCACTGATAAATCCTTCACACACAATACAAGAATGTATGATTACTACCAAGCACTAATCAAAGGGTGATCTAGCCAAGATTATTGATAAACGTTTGTTAATCGGAATGTACTTAGATTCTTATGTATTTCCTCTAGGCACAATAAATATATTTACTCAGTCCGCTACTACATAGATCGACTTCCTAAACTAGACAGTATTTGTACCAATCAATGAAGCGATATTGCTTATCGAGTAGATAACACAGGTGCCTACGTAATTCCTATAAAACTTATAAGTCAGAACAAAAACATAGCTATACATTCATGTACACAATTGGTAATTTTGAAATATAAATGGAAACGGAAACTTGAGTCCAAAATAATTTCATAACTGAAACCTATTAAATAGCGAATTGGAGCTTTACAAGATAAGTCTGTTAATGCATCAGCAGGAGGAATTCATGTGTTATGCGTAAAGCCAGACTTACAACAATAATATTGATTATTATAAATTACAGTTGCACTTCATATTTAGGGCACGCGGGAGTATTTACAGCTTTTAGTTACTTAAATGAATGTAGGTATTTGTATTTGAAATATTTGGTTTAAATATTCGCGCGATTCGTTTTCCCTTAAGAATGGATAAATGAAGTAATAAAGTATTGCAACAATATTGAAAGCTATCCTTAACATTTGTTGTACAATACTGATTTGAAAATCTCTATTTAAAAAAATCTAAAGTTATTGTTTTAAAATTAAAGTCAAAAGCCCTTTATCAAAATAAAAAATGTTGAGGCTGAAATTGACGTTGACTTAGAACTGTCAGAAGCATGCATTTCATTGCCTGGTCGTTTCGTATCGTAATGTCATTCTTGATTCTTGTGTCATTCTGTATTTTTGTAAAAGTTTAATGCGGTAGTGTTTTTCGTTTACGTCTATAAATACATAGTTAAATAGTGACAAAAAGTATATAACTGAAGCCAAATATAACTTCTCAAAACCCGTAGTGTTAACAATATTCTATATATTCAAAAAATGATAAAATTGTAAAAATAAATAATGGATGTGGACTTGTTACGACCAGGCACCGTGCCTATATCTCCAGACACGATTCTATGGTTCGAGTTTCTTTTGGACCCGAATTTACTAAAGAAACATCTGAGCAAACCAAATCCAGGTAAATAAAAGTTCTTTAATATTCAACACTAACATCTAAGACATACATAGTCAAATCAGTATTAAAAACTTATAAGAACCTATACAATATATACATACACTTGTAAGTGTAACAGCCCTGGTTCATGTTCTACCATTTTCTACCTATAATTAAAATGTGCATTATCAAATGTCATTTACAGAGCCTTCGGCATGTGAGTTAATCGAGGAGTTTTTATCTGTGGACACTAAAAATGGAAACAAGCCCACCAGTGAGCGTGTGGTGGACGTGGATGCTCCACCGACACCACCATCAGCTACAATCCCAGCACCGGCACAGTTCACACGAAAACAATTGGCCCTCAAAATCCTGGCTTTAAAAGTTGCTTCCACACTACACTGGAATTTAGGTGACTACATTTTGTATTGTAAACTTTATTCTCTATGTAATTAGACCTAGTTTTGACTACTCTTGTAAAGTAGTTTATTTATTTTCAGTGTTTTGTCATTAACTAAGTGTTGGGTAGCATTTGTTTACAGACATGTTATTGGTTAAGTCAATGGTATTATACATAGTAATATGTTATGGTTTTGTGTAGCATGTAGAAAAAAATAATACATTTTAGGGACATGTTATAAATTAAATACTTTATTCTGAATGCTCAATTGCACTGAAGATTTCATAATCATGCAATGAATTTCAGATATATTTGAGAGCAAGCTGCCGCCTCAGATACAACAACAGCTGATGCAGGATCTGGTGTACATGTCAACTGATGCTGCCTTTGCTGTACCTCCACAGGTAATCTAAACTGACATCAAGTAGAACTGATTTTTTTTTCTTTTGTATTAGTTACTGTTGTCTGTGTTATACTATACAGAAAGCTATGCATTAGAAGAGTGGAAGGAGGGAGGCCTTTGCCCTGCAGTGGGAGGGCCATGGCGGAATATAAATAAATTAATTATTTTATACTATGTTGTTTGGTTAACTAACTACTTATTAACACAATGAATGCCTTGTTTGCACTATGCTAGTATTTTAGTCAAGTAGTAAGTATTTAGTAACATTCTCTCGCTTCGATTTTGGGACAGAAGCGAGAGGAATATACTAAACACTCACTGCTCAACTAAAATACTAGCAAACAAGGCATAGTGCCTATAAACTACATATCATCATTGGCACTCAACAGTTACCTTAAAAACCGGTTTATAAGACAAAATACAAACCAAATTCTGGCATACCATGTGTTAAATCTGTGAAATACTTTTTTTATAAATCTATGCTTGCTAATTTTCAGGAAATACCAGCTGAATTGCTGCAGCAGCCACAGTGCAGTTTGCTTTGGCATTATACCACAGATGGGTGGTCCGCTTCCCAGTCAAGGCTGCACTCTATGCCAAGTCCAACAAAATGTCTTACATTCACATGTAAGTACTTGGTGTAACAAGTTCTAGCTGTTATACTACTATACAATAATATTAGTGTTAGCAAGAAATAGGTAGTTATAATGTCTTTGACCTTGAAAATTATGCATTTTTGTTTCCTTACAGACCTGGAATGCAACTGGACAGCGCATATACTCCACTGAATCAAAACTTCGAGAAAATATTGCGAATGTGTGAAGCTTCGCGTATGCAAAGTATTATGTTTTTAGATGAAATACTATCGTACTATGAGCCCACATCAAGTACAGGCCGGAAAGAATCCAAAAAGATAAAAGTTCCTGTGATGGAAACATTTATCCACTTAACTGAAGATTCGTGTGACATGAACCATGATTGGAACGCTGGTAACATTCAAATCAGCCAACATGAACTAGCCATGCAAATCCATTTCGACCTTTGCTACAACTATTTCTTCTATGGTCAACATAATTTGGCCAAAAAGCACATACTTGGCTGCAGAGAAAACTCAAACCTTCTTGAAAGGGAAATATCAATCTATGGTTATGGGCCCCACAAGCAAATGCCCTGGGGAGAATTTTATTACGCAAGTATGGCCAAGGATGATATCTTAGGATATATCAGAGCACTCAATTTGGGTTTCGAAGTGTTAAATGAGGAGCCCTCATTGTTACAAAAACTACAGGATTCCATAGCTAATCACTATACAGGAATTATTGCTGTTTTGCAAGCTGATAACTTAACGCGGGAAATCCCCATGATACACAGACAGGTTGCCGAATTAGATATACAAGGGTCAGCCTCCAGTGGGGCTTTCACTGTAGCGCGGGATCTCCTAAACAGAGTGTCCGCGCTAAATGCCGTCAGATACGCTTTAGAAGGTGGCTTACCATCAACTCACCCAGACTTCCTAAACAAATTCAAAACAGTAGGCATCAAGTTTTTCGACCTTCTGTTCTGGGCTCTTGCTCCTGTACTAATGTCTGATTTATCAGACGCCGATTGGGAAAACTTAAGAACATTTTACTTACATCTAGCAATATCACAGAGCAGACTACCAATTGATAGAATTGATGAGTATCTAAAAAAACATATTGGTGATTCAGCAGAAACAATAAGGAAGAAGTTGATATCTGATGAACAGTTGAATACGATTCTCAATGATCCCGTCAACGTTGATGATGAAAATATGGATATTCCTAAAGAATTACTAACTGATGATTGGGAAATGCCAGATTTCGAGTGCAAGACTGTGCCGGAGTTAGAAATGGGCAGATTGAAAAAGCGTCTAATCGAGGCTTCGACAGCAGACGATGTTCGAATGTGTTTGGTGAAGTTAGCCATGATGGCGCCGGCCACGCCTCTGTGGAAGATCAGTCCGTCGTGGAAGCCGGCGGGAGAGTTGTGCAATGCTCTGATATCGTTGCCGCGCGGGTTCCTGCAAGACTTCGGTTACGTGGTGTCGGGCGCGGCGCGCGCGCGCGCGGAGGCGGGCTGCGGGCGCGCCGCGCTGTCGCTGCTGTCGGTGCTGGAGGGCGAGGCGCGCAGCCAGCTGGGCGCGGCCAGCGACCCCACGCTGTACCGACTGTGTCGCCACCTGGCGTGGGAAGTGTTGCTGCTGCAGATCAACGTGGTGCTCAGCGAGTGGCCGCACCACCGCATCAACCTGTCCGCCTTGGCCAACAAATGCAAAGCTTGTATCGCTGCTGTCAATTCTGGTGACGGAGTCGTTCCTAGACCTCAGGTGAGCTGACGTGTTTCGTAATATTTAAATAATGTTTTATTCACCTCTATCCACTGCAGTGCTAAACATTTAACGTAATGTTACGTGTAGTAAATAATTATAGTTGCAACTGATGCTATTTTGTATTTCTTTGTGTCAGGTAATTGAAGCATGCTGGATATGCTTGATAAATGCGTGTGAGTGGGAAGGAGTGGGCATCACGACTGGACCGGGTGAAGTAGCGGCCGCACTCTGCGCTGCCTGCTTCGAGCTACAGCGAGGCAAAGCGACGAGGAAGTTCCCCAGACCCTTATGGGATTTTGGTAAGTGACAGAACTGGTTGAAGTAAAGTTGAACAAAGTATTTGAATTTCATCATCTAAGACGTCAAAATGGAATAATATGTATGTATTACTGAAGCTACTCATGTCAACTAAAAAGTAAATTCGTATGGGAAACGGAGCAAGAAGCTAATTACTACATCGTGTGAGTTTATATGAGAACAAAAGTATAATCAACTATATATGTTTATTTGACTTTATTCCTTTTTAGTACTGGGTGTATACGCGACGGGTCCGACTGGGCCTGTGAAAAGAAACGCGAGCGGTGCGCCGGCTCATCAACGTGACGCGCCGGGCGCCACTGCGGAGGCTCGGAACTCATTCAACGGGTTCCTCTCAACCCTCCGAGAACCTCTCGCAGTCAGCGTAATGCTCTCCCTCCTCGCCAGGATACACAACCTCCTCATAGACGATCCCTCCTTAGAACTAGTGGTCGACTACACCAACCTCTGGCCCAACAACATCTCCAACACAAATAACTACAATGCCAAGTTCGTTCTGGAATCTCTCACCGATTTGTTAGAAAGGAGTTTGAAGTTATATCCGTACAATACAGCATGGTAAGTCGGGTTTTCTCTTCTATTGCTATTATAGTTGTTATATTGTTAGATAAAATGCGTGGTTCACATACAAATCGCTACTTAAGTCTATATATTGTGGGAAATTAGATCTAGGGATACTCACGACACCAATATACAAACCCAGTAATATCAATGTTAGACGATCATATACTCGTATATCATACTTGTGACCTCTATAAACAATTTAACGCTCGATTAATTATTATTTAGTAGCTTCTACTCGGGACTTCCTACGCGCAAACCCGTTCCCGTTCATGATTTTCAATAAAACGTAAAAATAAAAACAAAATATTGGATAAAATCCTATGTCCGTCTCCTGGTTCTAAGCTACCTCCCCACCAATTCGATGTAGCCGTTCTTGAGTTATAAATAGTGTAACCAACACGACTTTCTTTTATATAGATAGATAGATAGATATAACATAGCGTCTAAATCTAAATGAAGTTCTCGACAAATCGAAATACCGGCAATCTCTCAGATTTAGTCAACCGGATCAGGTCGCGCGCAGGAGAACTACGCGGTATGCAAAAAAACACCGTTATCAGGAAAATTAATTCGGAACGAAGGCTATTAACTGTTTGACATACCAATTCATTAAACATGATGCTCATTCTTTAAACGTCTTACAATACCGTTATTTCGACAACATTTATTTATTTATTATTATTTATTATTATTACAACACCTTACAATATGACATCTTACAGTTTATTCCAATACAATATCACATTTCCTGACACATTTAAGTCCAACATGTAACTTAATTAATAAAAATTTTACCTTAATTATTAGACTTATAAGAGTTACATACTCTCAGTATGGCATACATATTATAACCATATAGACACAATTACTCAATACGGTGATATTCAATATGCCTTTGTACTGCTTCAATAAACCTTGGTAGGTTGTGGAACAAATCATGTTCCGGTACACTATTTATAATCCGAACCGCACGCGAAATAGGAGCATATTTAAGAAGATTAGTTCTAGCCCTTGGCACCTCCAACAGGGCGGGGCGGCGACGAGCCCCCACGTATCCGTCTGGCACACGCAATCCCAACATCTCCAGCACTTCCGGGTGATGGACCAATCCTCGTAGTACCCTGGCTATATATTTAACTAGCGCCACATCTCTCCGCACCTCTAGTGTATTGTACCCAACTGTCCCCAGGACGAATAAACTTGGGTACATCAATGGGAAAAATGGATAAATCCCATACAATTTCAAATACAAAAATCTTGTGAACTTGTTCTGTATTTTTTCCAACATCTTAATGTATTTGTCCTCATGTGGATTCCAAATAATAGCACAAGTTTCAAGATGGCTTCTAACCAATGCATTATATAGAATTTTAAGTACCGCTATATTTTTAAAATCGTGACCCTGTCTCAATATAAACCCTAAATGTCTAAAAGATTTGCTACATAGATCCGTGACGTGTTTGCGAAACGTTAACTCGGTTACCATGTGAACCCCTAGATCTCGGACGTTTGAGACACGTTGCATTATTGCACCATCTATTTGATACTGATAGCAAATTGAGGAGTGGGCGCGAGTGTACGACATCACACAACATTTGGCCACGTTAAAATACAGCTCATTATCCCGGCTCCATTGTACTACTTGATCCAGATCTCGCTGAAGCCGAGCACAGCCCACGGAGTCCTCGACCTGCAGAAATACCTTTAGGTCATCCGCGAATAGCAAGCACCGCGCACTGCGCACGACCTCAGGGAGATCATTAACCATAATTAAAAACTCCAGTGGACCAAGATTACTCCCTTGACTGACGCCCGAGTATGTATAATACGGTTTAGACCTTCGCCCTGCGTACTCCACAAACTGGCGACGATCCCCCAGATAGCTTGCAAAAAACTTAAGCAAATGAGGCGTGAAACCTATTTTGGACAATTTCGCAAGTAAAATATCGTTGTTTACTGTATCAAATGCTTTCCTGAAATCAAAATAAGCGACGTCTACCTGCCCACCGGCGTCTACAGCTGGCGTCACGTATGACATAAAAGAGAGAAGGTTACTCCCCGTCCCACGTGCCACCCGGAAACCGTGTTGAGCCTCGGACAATGTTTGACCAACCTGTGAGTGAATCCGTTTTTGTAAAATAGACTCAAAAATCTTAGCAAAGGCCGATAACACTGCTACCGGGCGATATCCTTCGATATCTGACCCTTGACCTCCCTTTGGAACCGGAATTACTCGTGTTATTTTCCAGCAATCCGGATAGCAGCCCTCACTCAAACACAAATTAAAAATGTGTAGCAACGGTTTCAGAAAAACAGAACTACAGTCTTTTACTACGAATGGTGGTATTCCATCTGGACCCACTGAGTACTTAGGCTTAAGTCGCTGAAAAGCCGTACATAAATCTCTCCTGGTAAGACAGTCAATGTGTACGCGTGCAGAGTCCGCACCCGCGCAACCACCTCTCGCAGCTCGCTCCGCCGCATGAGTATCAAGCGCTGGTCGCTTTTTACTATATACCGAGTGGAAATATGTAGCAAAACATTCCGCAGATTCTTCCTCCGTAATCACTAAATTGTCCTTGGTTATCTTGGGTTTATTCCTACGCATTTGTTTCGTTCGAACAAATGTCCAAAATGACCTTGGATCGTCCTTAAAATTTATTTGCAACTTGTGTTGATACTCCTGATATGCAGCTGATATTTTACGTTTCACTATTGACCGGTAACGAGAAAACGCTTCGTAATCACTTAAAGATGACGTAATTTTAAATAATTTGTGATGTCTCCATTTTGTCCTAATATCCTTTATTATATCCGACGTGTACCATTCGGGATAAGTCCTCTTATTTTTGTACGATTTACTGGCATTTTTCCTAGGAACGCATAAATTAATACAATTGTTAACTATGTCATAAAAATAATTTAATGCTAAGTTTGAACTTTGTGTGTCATAAATCAAATCCCAATTCATCAATTGTAAATCATGATACAGTTGACAAAGGTTTGCTTTTTTAAAATTCCACATTGAATGGTTATCATTGTGTTGACTACTGTCGAAAGAAGTCTGCGATGATGACGACCCTCCAAAAGGTCCATTAAAACATAAGGTCACAATTAATGGTGGATGTTGCACGTCTACACTCACTAATGACTCGTCAGCTAAATGTACCTTTATGTCGCCGGGCAAAAGTGTTGTCAATAGTAGGTCTAACTTACAGTTATTAATATTAACAATCTCATTTACCTGTTGAAATCCACAGAAAGCGCTCATATATTCAAAATAACTGTTTACCTCCAAAGTTGCCGAAGGCATATTGAAATCACCGATCACCACCACTTTCTCATATTTAATGCAAATGGTTTCTAAAATACGGAACAAGTGCATATATTGTTCAGCATCACACTTAGGAGGAATATATACAACACAACATAAAAATAAACAGTTGTTATTCCGAGAATTCACTGTCGCGCACACAAGTTCGAATAAGGCGGTGTCCACATTGTCAGCGGGAAGCCGTGCAAGTTGAAACCTCGATCTAACCGCCAACAACACTCCTCCCTGTTTTCTTCCGTCCATCCGATCACACCGAAGCACGTTAAATCCAGGCGGGATTAATTCCCCATCATGCATTGACGAATTAAGGCCTGTCTCAGTTATGGCCACGATGTCATAGTTCGATGCTGCCAAATTGTTATTAAAAGTTTGTGTTTTGGTCCTTAATCCTCTCACATTTTGATAAAATAATTTTAAGACATTATTGGACATTTTTGTTAATTTCAGATTTGTTTGGGTAGTTCCGAAACCACACCCACTCATTAAAACGAGTATTCAACGGCCAATTTTTAGAGTTATTTATTAATTCAAATTTTGATTCAGGGACTCCCACCATAAATGACGAATAGTCTCTTTTAGTTTTTGGAATAATTTTTTCCACCTTCACATCCTTTGAATCACATACTTTAGTCACGTGTTCAATAATAGTGTCCTCAGACGTATCAATATGAAGTGACCAGACATGCAAAAATTTCTTCTTCTCAATCGCTTGAATTGACGAAATTTGCGTATTCCCTCCCTTACTGATGCCTTTAGGGTAGGCCTTAGATTTTTTCTTTTTACTGGTTACCTCTTTCCATTCCTCCTCTGCATTGCTAGAATTATTGATATCAATAATTGCATTAGACTTTTCATCGATTTCTTTAACCCGCTGTGGCCTATGCAGTGTAGCCGCGTCCTTATTTTTCTTGGCCCGCTCCTCCGCACGCCGGGCGCGTTCCGTCACATTTGCTACTGTTGACATCGCATCATCAGGCACTATATTGATCTCGCTCCCTCGCACCAGTTTGGGCCAAGTTTCTGTTTCGCTCTTCGGGTTGCATTTTGACTCAAGAAATGCATTAATTTTTGTAGACAAATCTTCGATTACCTTATTTTGTTCATTTATTGTAATCGAACATTTTTCAATCAACCTTTGCTGGTCATCTATTTTCTTATTTTGTGCTTCTATGGTGGCAGATTGAGCACTAATTTTAGATGTCAATGTTGTTAGCTTCTTCGATAACTCAGTAAATGCCGTTTCCACGTTAAATTTGGACATTTTAACCAATAAAAATCAAAATTTATACAGACGTCGCTATTTCACGCAGACGAAGTCGCGGGTATTAGCTTTCTATTCATTTCATAGTCCTATTGAATTAAAATTAGTTGATATCCACTGTTTTATAATCTACTGGTACTGTTAGTTTGCGAGGATGGATGTAAAAACTTACTGGAAGTATTTGAATGAAATAGACTATAGTCTAATGTTTGTCTTGGGAATACTGACGTAACCGATTACAGAAGCTAAATAATTAACATATTTTTCTCTACACTAGGCTCCGTCTGTACGGTGACGTGGAGATGGCAGAGGGTAGATGGGGCGCGGCGCTCCGCCGGTACTTGTGCGGCGCGGCGGCCGGGTCGTGGCACTTCGCGAAGCGCGCGGCCGACGAGCCCAGCGTGGCGCGCCGCGCCGCGCGCTGCTGCCAGGCACTCGCCGCGCCCACGCAGGCCGCCGCGCTCTGCCAACTACCCGACGACCCAGACTACACCACCGCCTTCAAATGCCTTGCAGAGAAGGTAAATATTTGTCTCTAATATATCATCGATTAAATGGAAAAATTGGATTATTCAATTTCATAACATAATATCACGCCTTTTATCAGTAGGTAGAGGTGCACATTATGCCACAGTACAATGTAACACCCACGTTTCACTATTTATGTTATGAGTCCCATGTAATAGGGGGTGAGCCTATTGCCATATACCGGGCACATTTACAGACTCCGTGCTACTACTGAGAATTTAAAAAACCCAGTAGTACTTTGCTTGACCCGGGAATCGAACCCGAGATCCCTTGCCCCGCAATCGCACTTGCGACTACTCAGCCAACGAGGCAGTCAATTATTTAATGTTTATGGAAGAAAAACATTATCACATTAAAGAATTACCTCATTTTGCTATTTAACCGACGATATGTTATTGTAACGCCTAATGAACATTTTTTAATATTCAAATGTCCCGTTTAGATACCATTATCAGCCATTATCAATCCTTAGACTTATTCTATAAATTTGGCTACTAAAAGTGTTTCCACGTTTTTATGGAACTTATGACACATAGGTTATTGAAAAGGACCGTTAAAGTTGCATTTTACCCAAGTATATGGAACATTCCTGAGACATACATAAACTTGTTATATTATCAGACGGGCAACGCGGCGGACGCCATGGACGGGTACTACGGGTGTATCTGGGACGGCACCCTGCTGGAGGTGGCGGTGGCGCTGCACGCGCGGCGCGGGGAGGGGGGGCGGCGCGCGCGCGCCGTGCGGGCCGCCGGCGCGCTCGAGCTCAACGCCAACAACAGCGAGGACATCCAGCGCGAGGCCGCCGCCATCCGCCGCGCCCGCCTGCTCCGCGCGCTCACCAACCAGTACGTCGCGTGAAGCGGGCACCTACTGTACGATGTACATCCTTTCTTTGACTAAACTCATTTGTCTAAGTATTATAAGTGTAATTTAAATAATTATATCATTAACATTAACACCTTGTCGTTTCATTACACTTATAGTTAGAATTAAACACCCATATATTCACATTAAATATTTAATTTCAAAAAATAAAAATACAATAATTACGTGTAGGTTTTACCTCAAATAAGAATAGGAAATTGACTGTTAAACAGCTAACTTACTATACTTACTTTTAATATGGCACAATACCATTTAAATTACATTTAAATGAGAACCAATGACTTTTATTTTAATCAGTAAGTTCCACTTACTTAGTAAATAAAAGATTTGTTGGATAACTAAGGCTGTTAGGTTCAATTTTTACTCTCAACATTGGTTTACTCTGTCTTATGATTCTATTACTAAAATAAAGATAATTTTAATAATATATTTGACGCATCTTTCTTAACCGTAGCAATGAAAAAATATAAATGTATGTAGAATGTAAGTAGCGCGTTGTAATTACTTGACGTATGTGCCGAGGTATCGCTCGCAGTTGGGGCAGTAATGATCGGTGTTCTTCGCTGAATCAGAGCTGTACGGGACGCAACACAAACAACTGAAATAAAAAAAATACAATGTATAAGTATAATAAAATGTTACAAATTGCTATTGAAGGCGATTATTTTTCATAGACAGTACTTTATACAGTAGGTATATTTTATTTGTTTCAAAAATTACAAATTGAAGCTCATATGACTATGACTATACGAATCAGCTGGATTATATCCACTGTTTATCAAAATCTTCCTCCTTTACCGGGATTTGCCATAATCTCCACGCAATCTCCACGCTTGGCAGGCCATTTGGGGATTGCAGTAAGGTTACAGTACTGGAGCTTAAATTGACGGCTACAGTTTCACAACATAACCCTTATCAATGTTCAAACAAAAATGAAGACTTCAATACCACAATAAGCCACAGAGAGCCGCAGCCATGTGCGTGCGTGCAGTAGTGGTGTACTTGACAGCAGTCTTGATGGAGGCGTGGCAGAACTGGCAAGTCGTCACTGTGTTCACAGGCCCCAGCAAAGGCTTCTGAAACAATTTCACCATAAAGCCATTGTCCCAAAACTACTAACGCTTTGAAATCATAGAGGACATTAAATATGTAGGTACTTACGTTGAAACGGGGTGAACAGATATTGGGGAATTGTACTGAGGGCCAAGCACGAATAACTATCGCATTCGTATCGTAACAGTATCGAGCGAGGTAAGCGTTCTGATTGGTTGGTTCACTTGAGCCGGCCAATCAGAGAGCGTCGAACGCTCTCGATACTATTACGTTACGAATGCGATAGTTATTCGTGCTTGGCACTCTGTTCACCTCCATTCACTTATCGATTCCTATTTACCCTGTACCTATCACCACTTACCTACACGTAGGTACTTTGTAAATAATGTGCCAAAACGCAAATTAATGTTCAGTACCTAAGTAGAGTATCCATCATCGGTTTAGGTAACCGAAAATAACTTACCATAGAGTGCAACACATTAGGTATGAGTTATTATTGGAGGACTTAAAATATTGATTCATTGCAATATAAGTAGATACCTATATTCACATATCTCAGTACATATGTATATATGTATAAATAAAACGAGTAGTGACTCGTTTAGGTAAATAAATATGAAGTATTCATAAATACCGCGGGCACATGTGGCATTGGTTCTACGGCCGGCTGCGCTGCTACCAGCATGGGTTCGCTTTTCTGGTTAAACTTTTTAATCTGGAACAATACATGGATACGTATGTTACAAACCACTGAACAATGAAATGCTTCTTATTTCTGTTTTACCAAACTGTTAGGTTCCTAAGTAAATGTTACTTATTTGAACATTTCTGATTAACTTTGAAGCCTATTTTTAACAGCCCTTCATACCAAATTCTCCTGTGTATATTGCACCCTCATTTATAAATTGTCACGAAGATTGTGGCGCCGGTTATCCTCGATGACATCAATCGTGCAGGCAAATGGATCATTAGAATTAAGTAAATGGATATTCGTATTTTTATTCGTGTCATTAAGGTAATTGGGCATTTCCAGTACCCTCACACGACAATACATAACGCAAGCGTTGTTTCACGTTGTTTTGAATTAGCTTCTGCCAGCGGTCCCGGGGGTAAATAGTAGCCTATGTATATTACTTCAAACCATAGTCTACCTCTGTTCGAAATTTCGGTCTGGTCCCTTCAGCAGTTTTGATGTGAATGTGACTGAGTAACAAACATACACACAAACACAAATTTTCGCATTTATAATTCACAATGTTAGCGTTTCAAGCTAAAGTTCAACCTGGCGGGCAAACTAACATTCGACAAACTTATATTCGCGTTTTGTACAGTAATTATGTCTAGGGATCGAGCCGCACAATTAAATTAGTTTTTAGTGTATAAACTTTTTCGGGATAAAAAGTAGGTACGGTTTTTTTATGCCCATTTCTATGACTGTTTTTATGAAATAGTAAATAATGTTATTTTTTTTAATTCGGGATGATGAGTGTTGTAAACGTAATAGTAGACAAACATTATTAACCAAAGCTTCAAACTGCAAAGCTATCGGGAGTTTAACGTGTTATTGTGAGTCAACCACATGGATCGATTCACAACAAGGAAATTATCCAATCTTTGCATTCGACTCAACGACAGGACAAGCAAATATCTATTAATTAATTATATATTATTCAGGACGAGTTAGGTATAGGAAATACAGAATACAAAACAAGGAAAATATGTAATATCTTTAGAGGAAAAACTTAATATTATAAATCTTGTTTGTTATTTTCCTTATTAACTATGAGTCGAATTTGAAATTGATTTTAACAGTTATTATCATAAATTGATACCACAATGTAACATAGGTCATCATTAAACAGTGTTATATAGCTAAATGATAATCTATCGTATAATGGGTATCTTCTTCACTGCTGAACCAAGACCCCCTAAATAAAGGACGATTACTTTAATCCCAATACGTTTAAAAGTTGGTGGCCGCAATTGGGTTATCGGAAAATTAGAGGTTCTTGCTGCGGACCACACGTCGCTTGGTCACAATCTTTGGGCTTAACGGAGGCCAGGACCATACATTTTAGGAGTAGGTAAGTATGTTATATCGAGTCTAGTATTGTTCAAGTAAGTACTATACATATAGGTACTACCTCTATATAAATATTAAATTCCACTTCGAGGAAAACCAGTCTTAGGAATTAGATTTATATAACAAATTACATTAAACTAGGTACTTGTCCTAGTTACCCGTCATTGGTAAAGACGAAGTATGACTTGAGTAGGTTTAAGTAGGGACAGTCAGCACAGCTATTTATTATTTAGTCAAAAAGAATTCCTTTCAGTACAAACTACGTTAAATACACCGATTTCAACCCTCTCTTTTTTTTAATTCGGTTAATTTATACACTAAAACCTTCTCCTAAGTGTAGCAAACACTTTTCTGAAAACTGAATCAAAATCGATTAATCGCGAGTTTATCTTGCACTAACATACATACGCAAACTGAGCACATCCTATTTTTAAGTCCTTTAATAAAGATTGATTTTGTACAGACCGTAACTCTTCTTTAGCTACTGAATCGACCAATGGTTACAGAAGATAATTATTGCTTGGTTAAAAATTATATAATTTAGCCTATATTAATATAATAGCTACTTTCTCACTAAGTCAAAGTTTATTTTCTTGCCTGCATTCTACATAATTGTGCTAGCTTTACATAATCTACCATGTCTCGTGGTACGCGTTGCACTTCACAAGGCTTTGGGGCTATATTTATGGGACCCAGTGCCTCAATGACCTATTACAGGTGCTTGTATTAATTAACCTAGAATCCTGTATTTCCTAGTACGACACATTTCAAAACTTTACCTCGTGTCATTAAAAAATAATTGATACTTTACCTGCACTTGGGTATTGTAATCAGAAGAATACAGCGGTAGGCCGTCGTTCTGCATGCTTGACCTGAAAAAAAATGAGATTATAATATTTTTTTTTTTATATAAAACGTTGCTTCACTCTAGGATTTTCTCCCGTGTCGTGGGTGCGTTTACAAACATACAAGTTCACACCGTGCAGTTAGATTAAAAATATTTATAAGATTAAATATAAATAAGAAGCAGTAAACGGTTAGGTATCTATAACATTAACATTTACCTATTTCATTTAAACGAAGTGTTAAAAAATTAACAGAAGGTACCTATAGTAAATATCCTTAAGTAGGTTTTAATTAAATTTACCTTTATTTATTTTAATCCACGTAAGAAGGACCTTAGCCTTTGTTATGATTCCAAATAGTTAACTTTCCTACTTACTAAGGACTTGGGTACACATGTAGCGTGCGTAGATGTGCTCATATTACATTCGAGCAATTCTTACAATGCAAGCGAAACAAGTTCATAATCGAATATCAATTTACCCAGAACTCGTGTAGGACTGCCTCGTTGGCTCGTTGCCGGACAAGGGGTCTCGGGTTCGATTCCCGGGACAGGCAAAGTATGGTTGGGTTTTTAAAAAATCTCAGTAGTAGCACGGAGTCTGGAATGGAATCGTGCCTGGTATATGGCAATTTGCTCAACCCCTATTAGGTACATGGGACTCATAATAAAAATAGTGCAAAGTGGGTTACATTGTACAGTGACATTAAGTGTCGTAATATGCACCTCTGCCTACCCCTTCGGGGATAAAAGGCGTGATGTTATGTTATATTATGTCGTGTAGGTAAATTAAATTTCGTAGTCAAAATCTTTCAAGTTTAGGTAGTTAATCTAATTTAAAATGATACCTGCAATGTATTACAAACCTATTACAGAAGGGGCGTACAATAACAAGTTGTAACAAAATATATGAAGTGGGTTTGATTGGCACATAGACCGACACAATTTTATCAGGGAAGTGGAAGGTCCTTAGTAGCTACCTTTTACCCATAAACCCTACGACCCAACGTCACGGTTGGTTACAATGGCCTGGTTTGTACCGGCGGCATGATTTTAAAATGTGCAATACCTATTGTACATTTCAAAATAAAAACGTAGTGGCGTAACTGTAGTTAGACATATGATATCTCATATCCCAAACCTTTGTTACATTAATATTAATGTTCTCTGTAAGACTCATATAAGACGTGCATCACCTTCACCTTATTCTATTGTCTACATTTTCCACAGCGTAAGCAATATAAAGAATTTGGTAGATTTTTCACGATTCCCTTTTTTCTCTCTTATTAAATGTGGATCATTTCGGATAATGTAGGATTCCAATGGTAAAAGATTTTCACAAATCGGTCTAGTAGTTTCGGAGCCTATTCGATTCAATTCAAACAAACAAACAAAAGATCTTTCCTCCTTTATATTGTTAGTGTAGATAAAATCAGTCTTTAGATCTGCTGTCGTTGAATTTAACACTTCGACCATTTCGAAGACTTTTGGCGAAAAAGCTATGTACCTGCATACTTAAGTTTTAACAAACTGATAGGACAAACGTATAATATTCTTAATAAAATTTTCGTTAAGTATCTAACTAATCTTGACCAACTAAAAATATGTGTATAACATCTGATATATCTAAATAAATACCTATAACACTTTAATATTACCCTATGTATGTCAATGTGCAATGTGTATCGGTTCATAAATATTTGTTATTCTTATTGTGTTTTACTAACTCGTGTGAATATTATTAAGTAGGTGTACCTATTATATAACTTTCTGTTTCTTTGAATAAAAAGAAACAGTTGTGTGCGCATACTGTTTACTTTTATTTATGTTATGTATCTTTGTGTGTATCTATCAATATTGGTTTTGTATCTAGTCAGATCTTAAGTTTCTTATCTGTATTAACCTGATTCAGTGAAGTAGCCACACTATGAGTGTTGTATGTTTTATATTATTTTTTTAATTGATAAGCCGGTTAACGAGCAGACAGATCACCTTATGGTAAGCAATCGGTGCCGCCCATGGACACCCGAAACACCAAAGGCGTTACAAGTGCCTTATCAGCCTTTTGGGGATTAGGAATTTGAGGATTGTTGGGGTTCAGGCATTGGGGAGAATGGGGGGGGGTTGGTAATAGGGCCTCTCTCTGGTAACCTCACTCCCACAACGAAACACAACGCCAGTTTTGTTACACGTCGGTTTTCTGTGAAGCCGTGGTATCTATCACTCCATCGAGTCGGCCCATTCGTGCGGAAGCATGGCTCTCCCACGCTTAACTTTTTGTTTTAGTTAAGTACATATGAAAATAGGTAATTTTGTCATTCGTTTATAGTTAGCTATCTAGAGGTATATAGCTAACTTACTAACTATATACTTTTATCTGTTAACATTGTTGTTAGTTATACGATGAGAAAATATTGAAATGGAATGTACCTGAGCGTCATTAATAACATTTATGTTTAAACCTTTTTCGTGCGAGGAGAGGCTCGTGGCCACTTACTTATAGGCTGTTGATGATGAAGCATTATAGAGGTAGAAACCTTTTCAAAACCTTATTATACCAAAGTACCTAGATATCTAATTAGCATGTTTTACGTACACATTTTATTTCAAAACTATATTAACCTGTGGTATACCGGAACGCAGACCTACGCGAGACAATGTGTTTTCTATTGTGTATCAATTTCACTCCCGTTAAGTTCGTGAAAATCTGGACTGTCTGATCTGAATCTGATATATCTAGTTCATACTTACATTACAAATTACGTTCCATTTATTAAATATAATTGTAGATTAAGTGCTAGTGGCTACCCAGAGTACCATCTTTACCACAAGGGCCTTAGGGGCCCCGAAGGACGACAACTTCTACGATGGACACACACCCGCTATGTGTTTTTTTTACGTATATGTGAAATTTATACGTTTGTAAGTGCACCCACGATAGAGGAGAAAATCGTAGTGTGGGGTAATGTTAAAAAACATTTCAAATGGGCCCCGAATTATTGTGTGGCCAAGGGTCTCAGCGTAGTCTAAGACAGTCCAGTGCCTTTAGCCAAGCGCCACTTTAGAGCTTGTCTACAGAGAGAGTAGAATACTAAATGTATGAGGGTAACACTGACAAGTATCAAAATTTACGTCAATACCATATAATTTGGTTTTCTATTCTACATGTAGACAAGCGCTAAATGGCATTTAGCTACAGCTGCTGCTGGCTACCCAAAGCTTATGAACTGTCGTAAATATTATGCATAAAGTAATAAGTGAATATTCGCTAATTTGTCCAAACTGAATATCTTTATAACCGACTTAAAAGAAAGGAGGAGGTTCTCAATTCGACCTTATATATGCTTTTTTAAATACATATACAAAGTATGTAGTGTAAGTACCCTACTAAGATGTTTTCGTCTATGTATTTATATACTTATTTATAAAAAAACAACGGGACTAATTCAAAAACATATCACCTACATGCTTTGACACGTGTAGGCGATGTGTGATTCTGTTGAATTATCTAATTAACATAAATATTAAAGAAGGTCACATTTTAATTCCAACACTTAATTGGACGAAAACATGCTAATCCTAAAATACCTGACATCAAAAACATGATGAAAATAAAAAAATATGTATTATAAGTAGCTAAATTGATAATTTAAAACGTTAAATGCTTCGTGCTGACGGCACAGAACAATAACTTTACACCACCTTTACATTGATATGAGTCTCGTTTATGCTTGAGTACTTAAAATTTTTATCTAAAAACAAAAATATAAAATGTAAACTCGTCTGACCTTTGCACAACACAACTGGAGATGATGACAACTGGTTTTTAAAAAGATTAAAATTTGTTTACAACACTTATTGAAACCGGATTAAGAGATCGAATTCACAACGCGACCGCACTGTCCGTCAGGCACGACGCACGAGCTTCAAATGGTGTTTGCTCGAGTAACAAAATACTTTTCAACCATCAAACCCGCAGACACAACAAAAAAAGCGTCTAACGCGAAATAAACCGAACCCATACGAACTTCAACGAATGGCCTTCAATATTCCCTATGATCTCATCTTCATTCTATAAAAGGAACACGTGTCCAGACAACTTCATTTCATGATCAAAATATTATGTACTTACATTCCACACAGCTATTATAAACCAACTTATAGGTAGGTAAGTAGGTATTTGAGGTAGGTAGATGTATATGTAACTACGTTTAAAGAACCGACTTCATCCCTCTCTTTTTGAAATCGGTTAATTAATATACCGAAACCTTCCCCTAAGTGTAACAAACATTTTCTGGAAACCGCATCGAAATCGGTTCAGCCGATTGCGAGATAATTGCGCACAAACATACAGTCATGTGAAACTGAAAACCGCATTCTTTTTTTCTTTGAAGTCATTTAATTGCATTTAAAACTATCCTAGACAAATAGTATAAGCTCATTGATTTAGGTCCTCTAAATGCCTGAGCATTTCATTCATTTCATCATAAAATTGAAGTCCATAGATCTGAATCTATGGACTTCAATTTTATGATGTAGGTACAGAACTTCTGTAACAGAAGTATATTATAATACTTTAGGTATATCTGTCTAGTAATCGATCCAAACCTGGCGCCAAGTCCCAGACGCAAGTAAATTAATGAATAACATGACTTACTAAACCTTACTTAGCTGTTTCAATCGGGTTTTAGCATAACAACAACAACTTAATTTTTTCTTAAAAAAATGAAATGTTTTACACCAGTCTGTGCTTTCAGATAATAGTTGTCAAGGACCGTGTTACTTTATTATACAGTGTGAATACGGGTCGCTCCCGAAAAACGGTGATGGTCAAAAACAAGTTTTATTTTCATAAACGTAAGGATCAAATGTTTATTTTATGTAATAATAGTTGAAATGAACCACACATGGCTGATGTTGTATGAATAACACGCAAATAAAAACGATTAGAATTATAAAAACTGTTTTCTCAGCGTTTTTCAGGACTGTTCCGTTTACACCATATATAAGTTAGATACCAT